AGGACGGCGGGGCAGGCGTAAATGGCGGCGCAGAGGTAGTCGAAGGAGGGGTCACAGAGGGGCGAGGATAGTGAGATGGAGGGTTGGCATGAGAGGAGGAGGAAGGTGGAGGAGGCGATTTGGAAGGGGGAGGACCAGTCGAGGCCGAAGTTCGAGGGGGAGGGGTGCATGGAGGCGCAGGTGGACATGGAGGGAGGGGTGAGGGTGAGGGTGGCGGTGGCGTAGGAGATGGAGCTGATGGGGTAGGAGGCGCTGTGGGTTCTCAGGAAGAGTTGGTCGCCGGTGCCGTTGGAGGCGCACGTGATGTAGGGGCTGAAGAGGGGGGAGCCGCACCCGGGGCCTGTGCCGAAGGGGTACTCCACATGTGTGGACCCGCACGTGTCGCGGCAGCCTGTCGGTGTCGATGTGCAGATGTGGAGGAGAAGGAGGAGAGTCGAGAGAGAAGCTGCTGCTCCTGCCATGCTTGATATCATCTTCCTCTTTCTCTCTTTTCGGACTCGTGGGTTTTATTTTATCACATAAAGATTCAGGTAAAAATAATATTTACAAAAAGGGGGAAAAAAAAAAAAAAAAAAAAGGTGAGTTGTTTTGGGAAAATTGAGGTCACTTCATCACTAGCGTGCAACATCCACTATTTCTGTTATAAAATTGACAGTAGATTACTACTGTAAATCAAAATGCTTAATTGAAAAGTTGTGAAACTAAAATTGGATTTAAGCCAACCATTTATGTTAAAAAAATTATCAACTACAGTAATTTTTTCACAGATTTATATAAAATTAATGCTTAACTTTTCATGGAGATGTTTGTTAAATGCAAAAAAAATAAATTAACTAAATGTCAGTTATAGCTTTTTGTGATCGACTAAAATGTCAATACCTGAACAAATATTAAAAAAAGACTAAACTGTAGTATTGTAGAAGCAACAAAAGTTTCACTAAAATTCCGACCTGCCGGATTCGAACCAGCGACCTAAGGATACCAGCAAGGGAAACCCAACTACAGTCCTCCGCTCTACCAACTGAGCTAAGGTCGGATGTTATACGTCTGCAATATAAGTAAAATTTTATATCATAAATTGTCACTTGAAAATGGTCAACGTAATTATCGATCAGTGTGAAAAAACTACCGTCCAAATCAAGAATATATATATATATAATTTTTGCATGCATTTTGTGTAAAGTGCAATTATCTTAATCATACTAGTCAAGTGAAAAAAATTACTCAAAATATTAATAAGGCTATCGTAATCACACTAGTTGTTAATGGTGGAGTTGTTTAACTCACACTTGGAGTCACTTAAACTTACTCATAGGTTTCTTATTGCATAAGATTTTATTTGGTGAAATATTTTGTTATTTTTTTATAATAAAAATCAAATTGAGTATTGTTCCGGTATTGGAGACCGCCGCCGAAGAACCCTTAGCGATACCGAGCTAAAAGAACTTGACAGCAGTCTTGACCTAGAACATTCGATGAGAGTAACTTGCTGCCTTAGACCTAATCATTGCTATATATCACGGTGTGACGTTATAGACATGAATCGCACTTATGATCCCATAAATCACGCCCCATTATGGACTCGTAACTCCCAGTATTTATTACTGTTCCCACGGATCGTGGGATCTTATTGATTGTCCGAGTGAGCCAGTTAATCTCCCCATATTTGGGTCCCTCTTGTGTGATCGGCATTTTTCCGACCTGCTTCTGATCGGCCAATATGGTCGGCCAATGGGAGACCACCACGGTACATAGCCCTCCATGCTCGAGCACTAAGGTGCAAAGAGCATGTTAGATCGGTATTTTACTGACGTGCCTTGGATCGGCCAATATGGTCGGCCAATGGGAGACCACCACGGTACATAGCCCTCCATGCTCGAGCACTAAGGTGCGAAGAGCATGTTAGATCGGTATTTTACTGACGTGCCTTGGATCGGCCAATATGGTCGGCCAATGGGAGACCACCACGGTACATAGCCCTCCATGCTCGAGCACTAAGGTGCGAAGAGCATGTTAGATCGGTATTTTACTGACGTGCCTTGGATCGGCCAATATGGTCGGCCAATGGGAGACCACCACGGTACATAGCCCTCCATGCTCGAGCACTAAGGTGCGAAGAGCATGTTAGATAGGTATTTTACTGACGTGCCTTGGATCGGCCAATATGGTCGGCCAATGGGAGACCACCACGGTACATAGCCCTCCATGCTCGAGCACTAAGGTGCAAAGAGCATGTTAGATAGGCGCTTTGTTGACCTTTTCCGACCTTAAAGTGCTATTCACACTAAGGTTTTGGGTCGTCTAAATTCTGACCTTAAAGTGCTCTTCACAGCAAAGTGGAGATTGTAGAAAATTCTGACCTTAAAGCGCTCTTCATGCCAAGGTGTAGATCGTTGAAATTTCGACCTTAAAGCGCTCTTCACGCCAAGGTGTAGAGCTGTCAAAACGGGTAACCCGGCCCGGCCCGGCCCGGCCCACCACGGGTTGAGCCTTTGGTGGGCCAACCCAACCCGGCTCGTTTATTGGTGAGCTAGAAAAAGTTGAGCCCGGCCCGGCCCACCACGGGTTGGTGGGCTAAACGGGTTGGCTCACCTAATTTAAAAAAATCACCTAATTTGAAAAAATATAATCAGGTATTTGAAACTGTAATTAACACCCTTTCTTTCCTTTTCTTCTATATATAAAAATGACCCCTTATTTCCAAACATTTATTTGGCTTTGTAGAAAGTACGTCAGATCTCATTTATTTCCAAACATTTATTTTATATACAATGTTCCAAAATAGTTAACAAAAGACCAATATGACCGCAGTTACAGAGACCTCAAAAGCCACAATATTTTAATCGTAATTCTGGTTGTTGACTATGGGCATATTTGAATAAGTTTTTCAAAAATCACTTCCAAAAGAACAAGTTTTACCTTATCTAGTCAACGTGTTTCAATATCTAAGCATGAAACCGAAAATGGAGGCCACAGTATCCTCCTTTTCTGAAAAATCAAAATTTGTTGACGCAATACTAGAATTTACATATGCAGGAAATAAACGTCTGCCAGTACCTGAACTGAAGGCTGAAGTTAAAGGAGGAAAAATTATTCGTGAGCAGTTCGCGAGTTCACCTTCTGGCGACGTCGGAGTTCCACGCAAGGCCGATGAGAGTGAAGACGGCGAGAGTGAAGACGGCAAGAGTTCACCTCCTGGCTTGCGACGCTGACGAGGGTGTGGGTGTGTGAGAAATGAGAATGAGAACATTAGGGTTACGGTGTAAAAGATTTTAATTTTGTTTGGCCCAACCCAATAAGGCAATAACACAAGTTTTTTTTTTATGGGCTAGTGGGTCAGCCCGGCTCACCACGGGTTGAACCCGGGTGAGCCGGGTTGTTAGTGGGTCGGGTTTAAAATTGGCCCGCACTGAAATTTGTAAAAAAAATTTAGCCCAACCCGGCTCGAACCCGTGGTGGGCCGGGTTGGCTCACCGGGCTGAGCCCATTTTGACAGCTCTACCAAGGTGTATATCATTAAAATTCCGACCTAAAAGCGCTCTTCACGCCAAGGTGTAGATCGTCTAAATTTCTGACCTTAAAGCGTTTGTTACGCCAAGGTCTAGATTGTAAAAAATAAAATTCTGACCTTAAAACGCTTTTCACGCCAAGGTATAGATCGTTAAAATGCCGATCTTAAAGCGCTTTTCACGCCAAGGTGTAGATTATTAAGAATGTCGACCTTAAAGCGCTCTTCACGCCAAGGTGTAGATTGTTGAAAAATTTTGATCTTAAGATGCTTTGACGCCAAGAGACGTAGATCGTTAAATTGTCGACCTTGAAGGGCGTTTTTTCGCCAATGTACAGGTTGTTAAAATC